CAAAAACACACACCAAAAAAACATTTTTATCTGGCATAATCTGACAAAATTACATAACATGAAAAATATAATCAGCTGAGCGTGATAGAATAGCAGTAGCAGTTAAACAGATGGTAATCAAGAATTTGAAATTTTTACTTAAAAAAAAGATATATTTTTAAATTTTTAAATACTTAAATATTGGTAGTAGTCTTATTACATAATAATAGAAGTGAAAAAATAATTTATTTATTATTAAATAAATTTATTTTATTATTTTTCAATTATCATTCACAGATAACTATTAGAAATAATATATTAATTATCATTAAATTTTTTTCTATATATGTAATATAAATGTTAAATTGACGAGCATAAAAAAAAATTGATCTATAATATTTAAAAATAATTGATAATAAATAAAAGTTTATTAAGTTTTAAAATTCATTTTTAATTGAAGTTGGAGAAGTGTGTTATAATTTGAAGAATACAAACACTCCAAATATAATAAAATTAAGAACCACCAAATATATATAAAGTACTAAAGTTCCAAAAATTCTGCATTTGCTCCAAGTATACAATATACATTGAACATTTGTTATGTCTAAAATTATTAATAATAAAAATCGATTTACTACGAGGTAGTTGAATTAAAAAACACAAGAAAAATAAAATTCTTGTGCGCAGAGACTTGATTAATCTTGAACCGTTCATTTTCTCGGCCCTCATCGCCACACGTCCATCGCCTCTCCCACAAACACACGCTCTGATTTGCTCAGTCCTCTCTTCACATCTGCCAACAGACAATCGGCTAACATTTGTTGTGTGATTTTCGCAGCCTGTCAAGATGAGTAAGTCCTCTCTTCATTTATCCATAGATCTAATATTTTGTGCTGTGTGTCTGTATTTATCGATTAGATTTGATGCTAAGGACGATGTAGTGGCGTGTTTCTGCGCGCGATTTGATGGTGAAAAACTGATGGCGTGTGGTTGAATATTGATTTTTCAGCTGCTATTGTTGATTTTCGATTCAGTATTGGAGTTTTGTGAGTCATNNNNCAGGATTTGCTAAGGTCAACAGATTCATCGGGAAATTCGCTCGCCCTGGTGCTGTTAATGAACATTCGCTCGCGGCATCGGATGTGAAGGTCCATTTCGGTTGATTTATTAATTTCATTTTCTTTTTGCCCAAGAGACTCAAACTAGTCTGTCGTTTTGATTTCATTTCAGTTCATGTGCATTTTGAACATTTTAAGTTCATTTTGATTCAAATATAGTGTCTTTTGTCTTCTTTATGCGTTCGTTCAGTTTAACAAGTGGTGTCTTAAATGATGCTTAATATTGTGATATGTGTTCTTGTTTATTTATTGGATTGATAACATCCTTCGCACAGACCAATTTGTATCAACCAAAGCAGGAAAATAATTAGGTGTTGATCTCTATATTAAGTGTTGGAAGTGGGGTGTGATCAATCCTTCCATATCTTACAATGAGAATTGAGGAATGAGGAGGGTATAACTGCTAAATAACTAATGTTTACGAGCATATGATACATCATTTTCCAGTTACATAACTTCTTTCAGAGTTGCATTCTTGGTACTGCTTCAGGAACTTCATTGACAGAATATGTTATTTTTTATTAACGGGTCGGGAAGGATGAACCATAATTAAGTATTGTAACGTTAGCATTTTATACCTGGAACAATTTTGCTCTCCCCTAATATAGATGCCATTTGCATGATTCAATTCGGTTAATATTTCACATAACTCTATATACAAATGCAATGTTCAAAATGAGTTGTCTACAGATTGTACATATTTCATATTACAAAGTGACCATTCTTGGAAATGTTGAATTAGGATTTTGGATAAAGAAGTAAAATCAAATTAAAATCAATTACTAATAGATGCTAAATTGCTAATGGGATAATAATTGAATGATCCTGTAGCTTAACTTGTTATGATTGAGAACAATTTACTAACACCGAGTTATCTGTTAGCCCAAAGCAACATTCATCTAGTCAGCATGCGAAGGTGATGTATGGGAGGTTGTATGATCCCATAGCATATGTATTTGCAGCTCAAATCAATTGATACTACTGCATTCAAGAGTCCATACACTTTTGGCCCCTGGACTTGTTTCCAGACACTGTAACTATGATCACGTGTATCGTTGGATGTATGTTCTACTTCAGCCATACCCTGGCTTTTCCTTATTTATTAAATCATCTGGTTTGCATCATTTTCAGAGTAACTGGAGAACTTTGCTCACTGTTAAGGATTTCATTGTCAAAATTTTGGTTAGTTTGCAAAATTATTTCAGGGGCCATTGTTTTCGATTGAAGGGTTCATCATTGTTTACGGATTTCATTTAAAGAGAAGTCTCATTCTGCTTCCTTGCTTTGGTTAATGAAAGCTATAGTCACATGTGTGCACTTCATCTTTGCATTCCACTGCAAAACATGTGTTACATTCTGAAGTGCAAAGTTCTACACATTCGAGTTTGGAAGTTTTTTTTGGTTATTAACATCTTCTTAGTATAATATCCAGACTGTTCAATCGCTTCTCCCAAAGCATGCCCAAGGTGCTGGTTCTAATGGCAAGTTTTTCAGCACGCTTGCACTTTTTGGTGCAGGAGCTTCTGGGCTGTTGAGTTGTGCTACCTTTGCTTATGCTGATGAGGCGGAGCACGGGCTTGACTCCCCTAGCTATCCATGGCCTCACAAAGGCATCCTCAGTTCATATGACCATGCTTCGTAAGTAATTGCATTGTTGACACCAGAGAAATGTAATTTTGGGTACTTCATGAAAATTTTATCACTAATTACTTTGTGCAAAGTTCAGTTCAGGTCAATTACTTATAATGAAATAGAGGATATTTTAATATTAATTGTTATCGTTGCCCGATCTATGCTTGTATGCATTTTTTTTAAGTTAATTTATTTTAATTTAATTTGTGTGAACAGTATTCGCCGGGGTCACCAGGTGTATCAGCAAGTTTGCGCATCATGCCACTCCATGTCGCTTATTTCTTATCGTGACCTTGTGGGTGTGGCTTACACCGAGGAAGAAACTAAAGCCATGGCAGCCGAGATTGAAGTTGTCGACGGTCCGAATGATGAGGGCGAGATGTTTACTCGGCCTGGGAAGCTGAGTGATCGTTTTCCTCAGCCTTATGCGAACGAGCAAGCTGCGAGATTCGCTAATGGTGGAGCCTATCCCCCCGATTTAAGTCTTATCACCAAGGTATTCTCATTATCTTTGAAGACTCCACAGGGAAATTTAAATATATAAATATATTTTTTTTTTTCTGAGGTGTAGATTGTTTTTCCTCTCAGGCTCGCCATAATGGTCAGAACTATGTGTTTGCTCTTTTAACTGGCTACCGTGATCCTCCTGCTGGTGTAACGGTAATTACTGCATTTTTAACCTTTTGTGTCCCCTTCATTCTGTGGAATGTTAAGAGTTGTTCGAACATCAACAAGTTTTGTTCTGAAAACATTTTCAAACTAGTTAATCTATTAATCTAAGTGCAAAATCGTTGAACTTTATTTACTGAATTGGACCAGTATGATGATTTCTTGATACTTGAAAATATAACCGTGATCGTCAGATGTTCTTTTGTCAATTGTTTCCCCCCTTTCCCTTCTCTTTCCCCACTCTTGTTTGTTATCTTGTTGAGTTGCAATATTAGAACTTGATCTATTATTCTATTATCAGTGTGTTTGTTGTATTAAAGTTATATTGTTGCCTTGAAATGCTCAAAAATTCCATAGATTCGGGAAGGGCTGCACTACAATCCGTACTTCCCTGGTGGAGCTATTGCCATGCCTAAAATGCTCAATGATGGTGCTGTTGAGTATGAAGATGGGACCCCAGCAACTGAAGCACAGGTGAGTTTTTTTCTTTGAGATTTTTTTTTATGGTCTTCTTCATGAAGTCATCTTGGAGGCATAGACACATTAAACCTTGTTACTCATGCAGATGGGAAAAGATGTCGTGACCTTTTTGTCATGGGCAGCTGAACCGGAAATGGAGGAACGAAAGCTGGTATTTATCATTACAACCCCTACAAAATTATCTTCCATTTTTTTTTTTTTTTTTTTTTTTTTNTTTTTTTTTTTTTTTTTTTTTTTCAGATACCATAAGGATTACTTGTTCAATGACCTTGTTTGTATTTAGAAGAATTAATACAAGAACTAAATCTAAGGTTTAGCCAAGTATGAAAGAAAACTTACGAAATTACTAATGCCACCAGAACTTATATTAAAAATACCTCTCGTTGAAGTTTGTAATTACGTAACAGTTATCACCATAACTTACATATTAGTTATTTTCTTTTGTATATATTAATTACGCACGATACACATGCTAATTGATCGAACAAAGCAATAAAACAGGTCAACAAGCAATTTAACTTTAAGTAAATCAATCTGAGTAATTCACTAGTCACTACCCTCTTGTTTTATCTAAAGCTTGTTTCCTCTGCAAAAACTCCACAGATGGGTTTCAAGTGGATATTTGTACTGTCGCTTGCACTTCTCCAAGCTGGGTATTACCGGCGCTTGAGATGGTCGGTGTACAAGTCTCGGAAGTTGGTCCTTGACGTTGTCAACTGAAAAAAGATTGGATCTTTGAGTTTGATGATGAACGATCATTTTGACATTTTGTATTTGGTCATGAGCTGTATGCATTTACACATTTTTACGGTTTGGCCGCAAAATTTTGCATCCAAGGGGTTTTAAGTTATCTTTTGGGGCTAATAAAAGTTGTCATTGTGCATGATACATATCTTTTCACGATGTTTTTTACTGTGGATGAATTTAGCTCTTTCACAGAGCTTTGTGCTGTTACATGATTCCATTGGATAAAGTAGAACTGAGGTGTGACTCAAAATTTCATTTACTCGGTTGCAATGATTGAATTTTGTTTCAATTCCTTTGGGGTTTGGTGATAGTTATGTTGATTTGCTTCCTTCATGTTGTGATGTAGTTGGTTTGGACGCACACACACGCAACCAAAAAAAATCAACCTAAACATGAAATTGTTACCCAAAATCTTAGATTAATATGTAACGCATTCTATGGATTCAGGAAAAAATGGATGCTCAACAGAAAAGCAACAGATTCCTTGTGCTCAACAAACTTCAAACTCCTGTACTCTGTGCATGCTAAACTATTTTGTCGAACTTTGTATGCAAAATTTATCCTCAAGCAAAATCTTCATCTTCATCTGCGAGAGGCTGATTCATCGCATTTCTAAGTTCCTCCACGCCTGCAACAAAAACCGGAAATTTTGGTTAACAATCGAAAATTTCAGTTGGGTTCAATACTTGAGATTTCAATTTGGTTTGTCGAATCGAATCGAATCCACCCCTACAGTCGACATATCAAAGTAGTCAATTTAAGGGCACTAGTTTGCCACTTTTTCGGCCCATTTTTCTTAGGCTTATTGCAATCCTTTGTCATATGGTTCGGCTACACAATTATGGCAGTTGCCGGTAAGTTTCCAAACCTTGACAAACCTTGACAAGTTGTGTTTTTTTTTTACACAATTGTGACAGTTGCCAGTAAGCGTCCAAACCTTGACAGGTTGTTTTTCTTTGTTATTCGATTGATGGAGTTGTCTTGCTCTAGCAAAGTCAGCACAAGCCTACATTCATCGAAATTTCCTCCAAGACTTGCTATTATTCCTAAACGAAGAATGAGGTTTTCAAGACTCCTTTCATTTCTCTTAATTGAGTCCAAAATGCTTATTTGAGTGAAGTAATACTTAATTCATTAAAAATGTACGTATTCTAGTAAACAATAGGTACTTGAGTAAAAAAATACTTGTTCAAGTTGGAAAAATACTTATTAAAGAAACAGATAGTTTGAGTTTAAAGTACTTCTTCGATCTAAAAATATTTAATTGGCTAAAAAATACTTATTTTAATAAAAACAATATATATGAATAAATATACTTTATAGCGTAAAGCAAAATTAGAGTAGAAAAATACTTATTAAAGTAAAAAAAAATGATTAATTGAATATAATTATACTTATTTACTTATTTAAGTACATCAATACTTGTTTGAGTCAAACGTTAATATTGAAGACAAAAATACTAATTTCAACATTAATAAGTATTTTTTATACTCAATTAATTACCTCTCGGATTTGTTATTCTGATTAGTATTTTTTACTTCAAAAACCATTGGTTGACTCAAATAACTATTTTAGACTCAGATAATTATTTCTTGTCGTTTATTTGTATTTTTCAACTTGAATAAGTATTTTCCAACTCAATGTAGTATTTCAACCCAAATATGTGAATTTTTATTCAAATAATTATGTTAATTGAATGCCATTGTTTGACTCAAATAAGCATTTTAGAGTCAATTAAATATTTTTTATTTGATATGCATTTTTTTACATGAATTAGTATATTTTACTCAAACATGTAATTTTGACTCAAGTAATTATTTTTTGGTTTAAATAAGTATTGTTTGACTCCAATAAGTATTTTGGACGCTATGAAATATTTTATGACTTCAATAAGTATTTTTTTTATCTTGGTTAAGTTTATTTTTACTTAATTAGATATTTTAGATTTAGTTGAGTATTTGTTTTACTTTAATACATATTTTTCACCTTCAATAAGTAGTTTTATACTCAATAAGTATTTTACACTCAATTAATTATTTATGACTTTCAAAAATATTATTCAACTTGAAATTTTATATATAATTAAGAATTTATTGACTTTAATAAGTGCTTTTTAATTTAAATAATAATATTTGTACTCAAATAAGTATTTTAAATTAAAATTAAAAAAAAAATATCAATTCATGCATTGAACAATTTTACTCTAAAGTCCCACTTAATAAAAAAATAATAAAGAAAATTTACATTTAAGTTATAGTAAACAAAATAATATATTTAACTGCATTGATATGTACTGACATGCACCAAAAAATTGTCAAGCAAAATTCTCCAGCAAACTCTCGTACAGAATTATGTTTGAAATGAAATTAAATTATATCATATTATTTTAAATTAAATAGACAGTTCGTTAGACTGTATTTATAAGAAGGCAAATTGGTTTGAAAACTTTCTTTAAAATTTTGTTAATTTATTTCTATTGCTTTAAATTAATTGCACTATATTTAAATTATGTTAATTGTTTTAAGTATTTATAACGAGGGATTTGTTTGAATACTTTCATAAAAATTTGTTAATTTATTTCTATTGCTTTTCTCGTCTAAGATTATGGATAGGTAGAGGTATTCTTTTTGTATTTAAAATATTCTCGGACATTAATTTTAAAGTTTCTACAAAAATTGAGTATAGAATTTTTATTTTAGTGAAATAGTACTAAATTCATAAAAATGCATATTCAAGTAAACAACAGTTACTTGAGTAAAAAATATTTGTTCAATTTGGAAAAATACTCATTAATGTAAAATAAAAAAATACTTAAATTGAGTCTAAAATATTTATTTGAGTTAAAAAAAGTATTTAATTGAGTCAAAAATAGTTAATTATAATAAATACTTTATAGAGTCAAAAATAGTTAATTATAATAAATACTTTATAGAGTCAAAATTACTTGGTTGAAAAATACTAATTAAAGTAAAAAAAGAAAATTCTTAATTGAATCTAACACACTTATTATTTTACTTATTTAAGACAAAAATACTTATTTCAACTTTAATAAGTATTTTTTACTCAATTAACTATTTCTGTGATTTTCGACTAATAAGTATTTTTGTTTTACATTAAAAATCACTGTTTGATTAAAATAACTATTTTAGACTCAATCAATTATTTTTTGACGTTAATAAATATTTTTTGAAACTTGAATAAGTATTTTCTGGCATAATGTGCAGTATTTTTCACTCAAATATGTGATCTTTTATTCAAACTATTATTTATTGAGCTAAATGCATTATTTGACTTAAACAACTATTGCAGACTCACTAGTAATCATCCTGTGCACATGTACATATGTAAATAAAATATTATAAGTTATGTATAATTATAATATTCAAATTATAAATTATATAATAGACATCACATTTTCATAATTTGATCATTACTAAAATACAAAAGTATAAATATAAGTTAACTCAAGTATATATGAATCACTATATTGATTGAAAAAGTTTGTGGATATTGTAAGTTTTTTTAAAAAAATTGAGGAATCATAATAAATTAATTTAGTTGAAAAATAATAAAATTATCACCACCACCACCACCACCACCACCATTATAGCAACAATTGTTTATAATATTTGAAGGCGGTTTGACTATGCTATTAAAACTAATTAACTATTTTTTTTAAAAAAAAAATTATTTCATAAGATACAAAATAAAAAATATATACATATATATAATATTAATTTTACAATAAAGATCTTGAAAAACAATTGCAATAGAACTTTTTATACTTATGTAAATAAAAAAAAAATGTTTCATATGATACAAAATAAAAAATATATACATATATATAATATTAATTTTAGAATAAAGATCTTGAAAAAAACAACTGCAATAGAACTTTTCATACTTATGTAATTTCTAAATAATATTTAGTCTGAATTATTACTTTTGTAATGCCATGTAGGATTAGCACAAGACTTGAAAGCTTCCAAAGACTAGACCGAAATCACACTGAATCAAAAAATAACAATTTATCGTTTAAATTTCTCCTAACCCAATCAGACCAAAAATTACTTGATAAATATCTATACGAAGGACCAAAATGAATCATCTCATACCATACCAAACTAAAGAATCAAAATTTAAAAAAGAGGAATTTACACTACATACTAATCAATATACTTTATATTACATTTATGTATTTAATAAATATTTATTTACAAATACACTAAATTCATCCTACTTATTTGCACTTATACCAAATTTTAGATTTGTTACTTATATCTTTTAAATATAAAAGAGATGGATAATATTCATAATTCATCCCTAATATCAATGACTTAACCCACTCCCAACCCGGATGCTATCTTCTTCCACCGCATCACCAAATCCTAATCCCTCCATTGCCGCCATTGTTGGCACCTCCATGAACAACCCACTTCAAAATACCATCAACACTTCCTCTTTCTGGAGATTATTCGCGAGCCCGTTTCAGTTATCGGGTCTCGTGCAAGCCAATAGCTTGGGCACCGCCAGCAAGCCGATTACGGTCGGCCCATATGAACCCACTGGTGAATGTGTGGAGCCCTCCTTGGTGGTTGTTTCATGTTACAAGTTCGCGGATTTTCCGACCATGCTGAGTTGCGGAAGCCATTGAAAGAGCTCTGTGAACAGCTGGTGGATTGCGGCGTCCTCAATTTCCGTCGGCGTCCTCGTCGAGGGTTGCTGCGTCGCCATGGTTGGGGGAGATGGTTGGTTGTTGCAAGAAAATCGATGTTTGATTCGATTTTGTAGGATTTTGGACTGTGTGTAGATCGGTCAGTATATTGAAATCCGCAGACTTTGGATTGGAGTCACCGATATTATTTACAAGTTTTGCTAATAAGGGTGATGATGGTAACGGATTATAGTTTCATTATACAAATTAGTTTATGATTAGTATATGTACATATTAGGGATATGTACAGTTATTGTACATCTTAGTTTATGTTTGGTGTATTATTTATGTACAAATTAACTTGTGAATGGATGTTTGTTTTTCTCGTTTTCAATGTTTATTTATAATTTATGTTTGGTATATTAGAAGATATTTTTGTTGAAAATGAAATTGACAAAGGAGTAATATGATGTTTTTTGTTGTTTTGATATATTAGAAGATTATCGCCACATTTACTGAATATAAGTAACCTGTTATAATATGTTTATAAACTATATATATACTTTTATGTATAAAAGTTAAAAAAGAAAAAAACAGAAAGACATAAAAAATTTTGATGAAGACATATTTTTCATTGCAACATATACTAAATATATACTAATATAAATGCAACATATACCACCTGACCGCTGCGTGAATTACAATACATGTTTTTATTTCTCTCTATTAAAAACGTACAAGCTGCGCGAATTTGTCAGTTCTTTATTTCCATTTCTCTCTCCTAATCAAACGCATAAAAAATGGATAGAGATTGGAAGGATATGGTAACTGACTTTAGTCATTAATTTAAATAAATAAGGTCTTTTATGTAGAGACACAATTATTTCTACCTGTATGGTAGAGTTGCAATTAATTTAAAATCACATAGGAGACCTAAAAATTTCCCAAAAAAAAATCAAACTATAGCTTTAAATGTGTCTTATAGGCTTTTATGTCAATTTTAGTCCTACATTATTTGAATATTTTTCAAAAGTTTAATCATACAACTTTTTTATATTCTTCTTATTTGTTGTCTATCTTATAGTTAAATTGATATAAAAATTAAAAAATATTATACAAAATTATATATATTTAAATTATTCATATTAGGTTTCACAAATAAATAGTCTTAACTAAAACTACGATTCATTGCTATAGGCTAATTTGTTGATGGTTATTTAATAAGAAAATATTTAATGAAAAATACTACAGTCCCATCATGGAATGATTCCGTAAAGATTATTAGCCTTTAGATATAAATGTAAGTTAGTTATTGTAGATAATCCATGGTTAAAAACCCTCACGGAATCATTCTTTGACGGGACTGTAGTCTTCTCCAATATTTAATAAATTAAAAATATATAAAAGTTGAAAGTTAAAAGTATATCGATAATTCATTATAACTAGATATTAATTAAAAAATAAAAAATTTAAATCAGTAGTTTTAATTTTTGTTCCAATTTAATAATTATAAACTTCGTATATCCAATCCAAACCCTATCAATCCGAATCGAGGTGATTCGCTCGAATCTCCGGATGAAACCCAAATAAAATACAAATATCTAATCAAACCGTCTCAATTTTGGGTATGGGAGATTGAACTTTGACGAACTCTAAATTTCGATTCAGTTAAGAAGATTTGTAAATCTCCTTACCCAACTGTCTCATGCTCACTCCTACAGTTCTATCTTCATTTTATACAAAGAAAAAATGTACACAAGAGCTCTGGCGGTGGTCACAGTAGAAGAAATTTGCAAGTGGTCAGCTTTTGAGGCTTCCACAGTTGTGGAAGAAATTTGACTGACTTGAAAATTACTAAAATTATTCAAAGGAAGCAAACAATCAAATAGAGCCTAAAGAGTTGATGGGTCAAAAGTTTTCATAACAATCGTCTGAAGTAACAAAAGATATATCGAAAAATGACAAATCACAAACCAAACAGAGACCCGTTACCAAATCCAACTTTCAATAGCTTATGTCAACCATAGATACAATCTAATATACTCACTTGAAATGTTCTGTTTTGTTTCATTAAAGTTGAAAAACGGATGCAAGATAACAAATGTCGAACGAACCTACAAAGGGAATATATCTTTGTACATGAA